TCTATTTCCTTTTACTTTCCTCTTGTCCCACTATCATGCTCAGTCCCCACCAGGGTTTCAGTAATTCCTCTTGGTTACATTACCCTTGATCATGCCCTACCAGGCTTCCTACACCCTCCTCAACACCGATTTGTATCCCTTGTCCCTGAGTTTGTTAAAACCACTACCTTTCCCCCCACTTCCCCATGCCCCTCCGGAACTGTCGGTCCCATTGTTTTCTCCTCTAGATTGTTCATCCTGCCTATCTTATTTAGACAGACCTGCGGAGATAATAACAGGCACAAAAACAAGACAGAGCAAAACCAAGCAACAATATTCAACCAAACAACAACAAACCACTGACAACAAAACAAAACACAACAAGAAAGAAAAGCTTGTAGTTAGTTCAAGGCCTGGATGTATGGATTCTTACAAGAGCTGTAAGAGCCCCCAATAAAGTGATTAAAAAAAATTTTTTTTTAGTCATTTTATTAGAGGCTCATACAACTCTTATCACAATCCATACATACATCAGTTGTGTAAAGCACATTTGTACATTCATTGCTCTCATAGTTCTCAAACCATTTGCTCTCCACTTAAGCCCCTGGCATCAGCCCCTCATTTTCCTGCTCCCCCCTCACTCATGAACGATTGCCTCCTGGTCCATATACAAATTCTGTAGGAGCACAATGAAGTGTTCTGAAATTCCAGCAATGATATCCCTCATGCCTTGTATGCCTCTGAATCAAGCTAGAATTCCAAGCTTCAGATGGAAGGATTGTATGGGCAAAATACTGAATGATGTAAGAAGCATCAAAAGACAATGGAAGTAAGACCACAAGAAAATGGTCAACATACCACCATTTCAAAAAGTAGCATATCATCAAGAACCAGTGATACTGAAGGAGGAAGAAGTTCAAGCTGGACTGAAGGCATTAGCCAAAACAGGGCTCCAGGAATTGATGGAATAACAATCAAGATATTTCAACAAGCTAATGAAGCACCAGAAGCACTCTTTTATGTATGCCAAAGAATTTGGGAGACCGCTACCTGGCCAACATTTTGGAAGAGATCCATATTGGTCCCCAACAGAATGCAAAATTATCAGACACTATCATTGATATCACATTTACTGCATATACTTGAGTATATACAGTAAGTACAATTTTGCTAAAGATAATTTTAAAAGTTACATCAACAGGGAGTTGCCAGATATTACCCAAAAAATATGATAAAAATCTACAGAACGTAAGATCCCTTTCTGCTCAAGAACTATGTATGAGTTCTTTTATCAGTAGACTTGTAGAATCATTTGCAAAAAAGTTGTTCTCTTCTACACCTGTGGAGAATTCAGATATCAAAAACAGAACCAAAAAACCCACTACCACGTGGGGGAGAGGAAGGTGCTACAGAGCTTTCCTGTCTTAAGAGTAGGAAGGAAACCACGTCTCAGCTTATACTGCAAGAGATAAGCACTTTCTTCAGCTGTCAGACAGGCTTCATCTGTGTGACATG